AGAAGAAGAAGAAGAAGAAGAAGAAGAAGAAGAAGAAAGGATGAAAGAAAGGATGAAAACGGAAAGAGAAAAAGAAAGAGAATAATTATGGAGAGAGAAGAAGAAGAAGAAGAAGAAGAAGAAGAAGAAGAAGAAGAAGAAGAAGAAGAAAAAAAGGATGAAAAAAAAAAGAGAATAATTATGGAGGATGAAAAAAAAGAAATAATTATGGAGAAGAAGAAGAAGAAGAAGAAGAAGAAGAAGAAGAAGAAGAAGAAGAAGAAGAAAGAAGAAGAAAAAAAGAAAGAGAATTATGGAGACGGTATGTGAAGAAGAAGAATTGGTATAACAAGGAAAAACAAATATAACGGCAAAATGGATAAAAAAAAAAAAGAAAATCAATAGAAAGAAAAGAAGAGAAAAAGAAAATAAACAACCATCTTGATATAAGAAAATAAAGATAGAGAATGAAAAAGAAAGAAATAATTATGAGAGAGGGAAGGGGAAGAGAGAAGAAGAAGAAAAAAGAAAGAGAGAAAAAATTGAAATAATAAAAAATATGTAAATAAAGAAAAACTGAAAAGGAAAGAAAATGGAAAGAAAGAGGAAAAAGAATGCAAAGGACAAAAAGAGGCTAAGAAAATGTAATATTAAAAAAAAGAAAGCAAAAATGAAAGTTAAAAAAATAGAGAATAATGAAGAAGAAGAAGAAGAAGAAGAAGAAGAAGAAGAAGAAGAAGAAAAGAAGAAAAGAAGAAACAAAAAAGAAAGAAAGTAAAAAAAAAACGAAAAGGAAAGAAAAGGAAAGCATAATATTCAAGGAAGAAGTAGAAGAAAAAGAAAATGAAAATAAGAGACAAACAAAAAAGAACAAAGAAATGGAAGAGATAGAAACAATGGAAAAGGAAGATGAAACAATGAAATCCAAACACACATTGGATTACGAATATAAACATTCCAAAACGTAAACAAGCTACATAGAAATGGTAAGATTTCGTTAGAAACAAAGAGTGCCGTATTGCTATGTGATATCTAACCTCGAAGATGGCAGGAAGTTGTGTAAAGCCATGTTAGCCGAAAACAAGTAGTTAATCACTGAAATATTTTATAATCCTGGTTCGCAGCAGTTATTGCTTATGAGTGACCTTATATCCTGGTTGATAGCAGATCTTATTTCTCATCTACTCGCTAGACTAGGATGTCCGTATCCTGGTTGATATGGCTCCTGGTTGCTTGGTCGAAATATGGTTTTATGCCCTAGCTATTCTGATTATATATCTGTTTGCAGTGATGGTGAAATTTTGGTCTCATTTTTATTAATTATTTATTTTAATATCACTAGATAATCCTTAACGTGTTTAAGCGAAAGAATGCCAGACAAATAACTATAGTAAATGGCCATTAGTTACTTAGGACAACAAAATAGGATGTTGCAGAGAACCAAGATATCATATGCCCTAAAAGAGGTTAAATGATTGAATTTTTTGTTTTTGTTTTCTTCTTGCGCTTAGTAAGAATATAATCACATATTTGTTAACTTCCATACTTGGACGCTTTACCATGAAACAGTTTGGTTCGTTGCTCTCACGTAATTATTCAAGAATAGCGAATTCAATCTTCACCGCATGTCCTTCGCTTGTCGTCTTGAAACGAAATAACGTTCCAATCTACGCTATTCACCGCATTCGAGGTAACTGAACTATTGTAAACTCTCTAATCTTTCCCATGGCTTCATAATATTCCACTTCGGGCCTTTCTCAATGGTAATTTTTCAAAAGTGAATGTAAAAAGATTCGACGAGTATTAGAACTCGGGTTGCCGATTTCACTTTCCAAGCCATTGTTATAAGGGCACCTCCAAATCAAGTTACGATACGTAAATATTTATTGGTTTTAACCTGTGAAAATTTCACGGTTTTCCTATTTAAATTTTCTGATGAATTTTAAGTTTTCAGTTAAAGATTGAATAAGCTCATGGTTTTTTCTACGACAAAAATATCTCCCATATCGCATCGTTAAATATTTGAGCTTAAATAACAACCATAAATTTGAATGCTGGTCGTTATTTATGAAGTAAGGGGGTACAAATGAAAAGATCTGAAAATTGTCAACCTTTTCCGTTTCACTGAAACAGATGTTAAACACTTCTCTTTTCCTTTTCTTTCTTTCTTTTATTCATTTTCTCAGTGATCCCAAGTCGGCTCTCTGATAATAAGTGTTTTGTTTAGCAAAACGGAATTGTCCATTATTGATGATCTATTGTCGGGAATCGTTACTTTTATCCTCTCTTCTTCCTTCCTTTCTTTCTTTCTTTATTTCTTTTTTATTTCTTTTCTTTCTTTGTTTTTTTCTTTCTTTCTTTTTTTTCTTACTTTCAATTTCTCACTGAAAGCAAGTAATGCGTGTTCCCCTCTTCCCATGCTATCAGAACAGAATAGTTCGTTTTCTATTAGGTATTGGCGGGGCATAACGGTCGTGCGAACTAACGAAGTGAGAGAGGCAACCACATTTATTATAGGATA